TTGTTAATAGGGTTGAAGTAATGCAACGTTGGTTCGCTGTTCCTTTCGTTCATGATATTATTAAGAAGTTTAGTAGATTGAATAGCGAGCGTATGAAGGTATTGTTTATAGTACTAATAAATTGCGAGAATTCATTAAGGTGCATAAGGACCTTTATCGCGTGACAAGAAGTCGAATGTTGTTTACAAGATCTCGTATAAGAGTTGCGATGCAAGTTATGTGGGACAGATGTGTAGATAGCTGAGTTCAAGAAATACGGAGCATAAGAACTATATCCGATGGAACGCGTCTACTCGTAATGTCATAACGAAGCATCGGTTTCAAAAAGGCCATGATTCCGATTGAGACAACATTACAATACTGGACGAGGATGAGCCTCACTACAGGAAGAGATTGATTTCGGAGATAATATTCATCAGGAGACAGACGCATGGACTCAACCTGCAGACGGATATGGAGGGGTTTGAGTTGTTGTCACGTCTAATCAGTCAGTGTCGTTCATATGCAGTAATGCGAACGACTGAGTCTTTCTGATGTGTTTATCGATTACTTTCTAACTTTCTTGTTCTTGGAATTGATTAACGCTTTAATGTTACATTTTTCCATTTATTATCTCGGAAAATTACTAGCTAAAAAACAAAAAGATGACTCACTGTGTTTGATACTGACTGGCCCATATTATCGAGAGCTTGAATTATTTTTATAGTAATGTTTGCGAAATTGAATTATTTTTATAGTAATGTGGTGCTATGTGAGCATGGTGAGCGTCCTTATATTTGCTGAAGAATTAATTATAATCTTAAAGTTGTTTGATAAATTAGTATTCTATTTTACGATATTTTCTAATTTTTTTTTCTTTTTCCTTTTTCTTTCATTCTTTTTGGTTTTAATTCCGACATTTAAATTCTCGATGTAGGGTAGTTCAATGACAGAATAACTTTTATTCACAGTTTTTATATATAGTTAGTTTATGTTGTCTCTGAGGAAGGCTCAAAAGTGAGTCGAAACATGTAAGCGCGTTTTAGTGAATAAAGTTTCACACTTCATAAGTATATTATTTGCGCGACGTCTTCTACGCTTGACTCCTACTGCCCGTATCCTTTCCAGTTCTATTTCATATAAATTTTACAATATGACACGATATTTTTAATCTGCAACTTAGCAGCTCATAATAATTTTACCAAGCAGTATAGTAATTAATAAGCAATATCCAATAATGTTCTTATTTTTTTTTAAACGCCACTAAAGCTCATTAGCAAAACACAGCAACAACAGATAGATGCGACGGAGAGTTCAAATTCTCATAATTAAAAGATCGCACAGAATAGAATAAAGAGCACAGCATTATGAGATTGTTTACTGACTCCAAAATTGGATTCGAAGACGAAAATAGATGAGAGACGTATACATATTATATAATACATATGTACTTTAATAGTGCAGTTTTTAATTCTATACAAAAATTAATTTAGAAAGCTTGATAATTCTTGGAAGTTATACGTACCAAAATATAATAATACGATGATAACTAATCTGTATTAAAATGTAAATTTTTACGAAGCGTATTGTAAATGTTTTGCCTTAAAACCATTTACAATTTATACTTGGTAATTTTTGTTATATAGCATATAAATATCTTTAGCACGATGTACAAAAGCTCATAATCTATGGTATAACATATAAAGTGTCAAAAAATTATCTAATATTTATGATATTTTTTTTATTAATAACTTTTTAACGAATAACAAGTAACGGATTTATTCATGATCCCTCAAGGACATAACCTGGACAATATACAATATATCAAGATTAAAGTTATTGTAGGGTAGTCTCTTACACACTACATATTTATCAAAAAATCTAAGTGTAATATAAATAATGGACACAGTAACGATTAAATATAACGATTAACGTATTGAATTTGACACAAAAAAATTGTTTACTGTTCCATACCTAAAAGACATTTCGGAAAAATTCAAAATTATCTCAAACAAATTTGACTTTAACACGACTTATAAACCTATGAATTCCCTCTGAGAAACAGGAAAAGATCGATTAGATATTATGAATCAATGTGAAATAGAATACAAAATAAATTGCTTAGATTTTGATTCTCGTATGTTGGACTCAAACTAAGAGGAAACTTAAAACCTGAATGAAAGAGCACACATAGTTAATATTAAAAAATCTATTTGTTTTTTATCCGTGGTTTCCTGCCATCAGTTAGAAAATAATCACAGATTAGATTGGGATAATATTATGGATTCAGAATCATCTTTTCATAAACACATATCGGAAATGATATATATCAACAAACGAAAGTTTGAATTAAACAAATAAAGCGACACGAAACGATTACTTGACATTTATCTTTCGATACTGTCCAACGATATCCCCTCTTAGGGGATATTTCACTCTTCCACTTTTATCCTTCATTTCACTCTCCCTTATTTTAATAAATACTTTGCCAAAATTTTTTAGATTTAGATAAACATGCACACTCCTTTAGACTATTTAGAGATATTTTCCATCTCCTACAAGACGTTTTGCTATTGCGAGGAATCTAAAGTATCCTAGATGTACTATTGTATTAAATACGGATTAATAATATTAAAATAATTATATAATGATTCCAAATTTCATTTTAACTATCTATTCTGACACTTTGTTGCATCACAATTATTTATATTAAGAGTTGGGACTCTCTCTTGTACTAGCATGTACTAACAAGAAACAAATTTTAACTTAAAAGAATCCGCAATATAATTGCAAATTCGAACAAATATTTTATGAAATCTTTTGAAACGTTTATGATTAGTTTCTTTATATTATTAACTGAATTATTTTAAATACAAGATTTATTGCAAAATAGACCTAGCATTGTGGCTCTATATTCCTTTTATTTATTGTTTTCAATAAAACAAAAATAAGATTATCCACCGCATCTACGCCGCGTCTACGATTCTGGGATAAACTGAAAAAGAGTATATGGTATATTTACTAATTTAATTAGAATTGTATATGTGTAACTTTGTTACGTGCATAAGATACATATAATAACGCACACACACATAATAATGCACATACACATTATATGTAATATGATCCAACATAACATTTCATGATTTTATATGTCTACAAATATTAGAAAATTTAATTTTGAGATATTTTGGAAAAATGATCAACTACGATTTTATTTGCATTTTTTTGTAACCTATGAATGGTTACAAATAAAGCTACAAGTAAAACCCGTTTTTTTTTTACATTTTCAACGTACCTATTAATGCTTGAAGACTGTATATATATATAATTTGATACATAAAATTATAAATAAAATTATATTTCGAATTCCATCGTGAATTATCATATGTATTAAATGAGGTTAACCCAATAAATATAATATAACAAAAGTGAAATAAAATTTTGTTTAAGTTTTATTAAATATGCAATTCTAAGTGCTATCTTTGATAATTACATATCGTCACGGAAATAGGACGCCATCGGAATTGCAATCATTGTGCTTCCGTCATCACTGCATCACGTTCATAATGTCACTTTCATGTCTCAAAATGTATCAAAATAATATCAATAAAGCAAGACTTTGAACTTCATAAAAAATTATGTTATGTGTACATTTCAGTATTGTGAATAAGATTGAGAAAATTTAGAAAATGTGTGTAAAGATAAAAAGATACATGCTAAAATAAATAAGAGTCACTAAAATTTGATGAACAAGTAACGTCCCATTTTATTCTATTCTTTTGATAACAATGTCTCCAAAAGTTGAATTAATGAAGTGAGAATCATTCTAGAAAGGTGAAACAATAATGTGAGATCGAATAGACCAACAACAACCTTTGCGTTCTCACCACTTGATTATAACGAAATGTAATTCCAACGTTCCACGAAGGTGCCATGGAACATCGCGCACCTGTATCAACATTTCCGTTGTATGTGTGTGTACATGTAAATAAATACATACATGCACGCTGAGATTACGTATGTTCGTTCCGACTGTCATCGGTATAATTACGTTTGCAAACGGCAAACGCACTCGTGCATGCGACACCGACTCGCATTCCACAACTCCGTTCTCCCATTGTAGAAGAAAAGATAAAAAATTATACGTTGAAAAATTATATAAGTAGGCAAAGAATTAATAGAAATTAGACAAGAGTGATAAGTTTAAGGCTTACAATTAGTGAAAAGTATTTTATTATAAAGAAAAAAAACCTTCTGCTTCTGTTACCACATAAAAATAATTCTATTAACAATAAAAGATATAATTGAAAACATGAGAAGTTTAAAAATTTAGAAAATTTCAATTAAGTAAATAAATTAAACATTAGAAATATATAATATGTAATATATATATA